TGTTCCGATTTCGAGGTCACATGTATTTTAGTAAGGTCACAGTTAACTTCATTAGTTATTCTTCAAAAAAATTATAAGGTCACAGATATCTTATTAAGGTCACAGTTAGCTTAATTCAGATAACTGCTCCGATTCCGAGGTCAGGATATCTTATTAAGATCACAGTTAACTTCATTAGTCATAACAATAAAAAAAACAACGAGCACCACCACCACCACACGGACCGCCACCACAGATCTAATACAAAGTTTATCACCACCACACGAACACAAACTAACCAGCCACAGAAAACACGATAGATTCACCACAAAACCCACCTGCAACAGCTCACCCAAACCTGCAACAGCTCTGATCCGCCACAAACTGAACCCAAACCGCCGACGTTCGCCACAGCCCACCCACCTGCAATAGCTCAGGTCCCCCACAAACCCACCTGCTACGCTGCAACAGCTCAGATCTGATCGTCCCCCCACAAACTCACCTGCTACGCTGCAACAGCTCAGATCCGATCGTCAACGTCGACGCTGCTGTGAGCTAATCACAGCAGCGCCGACGCTGCTACACTATTGTGAGCAGCGGTCGACTGCTACGCTGCTGTGAGCAGCGTCGACACTGCTGTGACGCTCCGGTAGGGAGGATAGGGAGGGAGGAGGAGTGGTAGGGAGGAGGCGGCTGAGAGAACGATGGAGAGAGAGAGAGAAACGATGGGGAGGGGTGTGAGCTGTGGGGGAATGAAATGATAAATTAGGGTTTTAAAGGATTTAATTAAAATGATAAAAAAAAAAAATTTTTAAAAGATAAAAAACCTGAAAAATGAAAGAAAAACTTGAAACTTGATTTTTTAAAAGGTCAAACTTAATGGCTGGTTTTTGGTAATTTTCCCAAGAAACAATAAGAGTAGTATTTGTTGAAACAGAATGAGTATCTTGCTTAAGTTTAAAAAATGTTTTGATTAATAGTGGTTCAGAGCTATGTTACCTTTGATCTATTTGGAATTTTAAGGCCAAAAACTTAATAGTAGTGTATGCTGCAGGGTCTAGTATTTGATTTATAGTTTTCTTCTAAACAAATGAAACTACAAGAAATAAGGCTCTTGAATGACCAGGGAATGCAACTTGAATTAGACACAAGCACGCCAACAGTGTGTATTTGGTGGAGCTTAATATAGATTTTCCTTGATTCTTCAAGGAACTCGTGAACATATAGTAGGACGTCGGTGGTGGCGCCATATCTATCAAAGGTAGTACCTTTCTGGCAGGTGATCATGTTATCAATCTATTTAGGGGATATCTACAAGCCTGGAAATTTGTGTGTTTTGTCCAATTAAGAGTCAAATTAACACGTCATATGACTGGCATTTCCAAAGGAAAGTCAACCCCATATTCAGTTCCCAGAACATTACTTGTTAAACACAAGCCTTTACGGTGGGGAGTCCACCAAACATGACTAGATCATCTTACCGATGCATAGAACCCAACTTCTCCTGAAAGTTTAATCTATTGGGTTTTGAGCCCATGTATATACTGCTTGCCATCCTAATATATTTATTCCTTTAATACGAGGCACTACCAACCTATTCCTTAGTTCATAGAGAAACACTCAGTAAAATACATTTATATGAACGTGTCTGTTGATGTTGTTGTACACTTGTGTATTTTGTCTATTCTTAAATGAAGAAGCCAACTAAGAACATGTATCACAACTAACTTACTGCCTAGTCAACTGATTAAGAACCAGCATCTTCTTGGGCATGAAAATTTGGAGTCAATTTACTGCTGTCACTTTTGCTGCATGCATCCTATCCAATAGAGAGGCTGATTGTTTTTCAACAATTTTATATTTGGTTAAATTGTTTTTGACTGTGATACAGATACAAAACGTAATGGACTGGCCACTTAAATGAATGTAAAATTTGGATTTGAATTCCAACTTTCTTAATTTTAGGGTTTAGTTATGTAATGTTCATACTTTGAATTTACTTTGGATTAGCTAGTTTCCTTTCATGTGAAGAGACTTCATTATCCTCTTAGCTGCTGCAAAATAGCTGGAAAATAAGAATATGTAATTGCTTCGCTGTTTTATTTTCTTATTATACATCTTCTCACAGGGGTTTTTAAGTTTATTTTTTTATATTTTATGCAATATACTTTTCACATGATATTTTTTCATTTTTGATATTTGCAGATCCTTATTTCCTTTCACGTTGTAATTTTATATTTCATTTCAGGTTGTGATGGATGCGGTGAATAAGCCTCGAAATATTGTCTATAAGGAAGGACAAACTGATCTGGTGACAGAGTAATTATCCATAAATCTTGTCATTGTCATTTTTTTTAGACTGCCATTGAGACACTACCTTTAAATTGCTCTCCTTCAATATAAGCATATTTACGTTTTTCTTTATTGATCCCAGTTTTGAAGTCAACTAATTTTGTTCTGTTAAATCTTTCTTCTTGTTTTCACAGTGACTATTTATTGCTTATTCGTATTTTTTATCAATATTGAATTATTGCAGCACAGATAGAATGAGTGAGTCTGCTATTCTGGATGTTGTCCGAAAGAACTTCCAAGATCACCTCATTCTCGGGGAGGAGGGAGGAATCATTGGGGACTCATCTTCTGACTATCTGTGGTGCATTGATCCCTTAGGTTTGGGTCAAAAAAACCTTTTGCTTGTCTGGGAGACCATGTCTATGATATGTCTATTAATTTCTTAGGTCCTGGAGGAAATTTGATGTGGAGCTTTAAATGAACTATGAAACTGATTAGTGGCATTACTTAAGAAAACTCAAAACTGTAATGGCTTGTAGTAACCCAGTAAATATTTTCATTAAAATTATCTAGTTTCGACTAAGAATTCAAATACTTGGAAACCGTGCATGTATCTGTAAAGGAGCTTAACGTGGCATCAAGAAATTGTCTTCCAATTGGCATTAACCTCTTGTTGAACCAGGCTATAGCACGATTTAATGGTAATTGTTTCACTAAATAGGATTAGCAGTCACAAGGAGTTATTGTCGAATCACCCAATCTTTATGAATTAAGGAGTTGGTGTTAACTTGTATTGGCGAAAAGGCTGCTACATTTTACCTATATAGGATCAGACATAGCTTGTTCTATAAGGGGCTATAAGATTCAATATTCTCTCTTGTTGATGCTATGTTGTTGCTTACACTATGAGGATGCATATATACACATGAATTGTGGTTGTCTGCATGTTTCTTTACATTGCAACAGCTTCTTCTTGATCTATAAGGTTTTGAGCATGGTTTCCTTATTTGTATCGATGCAGATGGGACCACAAACTTTGCACATTGTTATCCTAGCTTTGCTGTCTCCGTGGGTGTGCTTTTCAGAGGAAAACCAGCTGCTGCTACGGTGGTAACTAATGAATCATTAAAATGGTGACCTTTTCAGAATTTCATGTTTCTAGGCTCTAGCCATTTCTTATTAACCCCAGTAAACGTCTCTCTCCCTTGTTTTGCTTATAAGAACGTAAGTCATATTATTGTGAATTTTTTCTAGTCTAAATGTTTAAAACTGCAAGTTGGAGATTAAAAAAGTCATTGTAATTAACTTATTTGTTTGAACACAACTTCATTTTTGAGAACATTGTAGGGACAATATTGTCATCTTGATATTTGTTCTCACATGTGTTTCTTTACCATGAACATGAGGTTGACAATGTCTCGTGCATTTGTAGGTAGAGTTTGTTGGTGGACCTAAGTGTTGGAATACTCGCACTTTTTCTGCAGCTGCAGGTAGGAGGCCTCTATTCTGAGGATTCCTGTAATTGCTATTTAGCTGTGTTTTTGATATACATCACTTCATAATATTCCAGGCAAAGGTGCAACTTGTAATGGTGAAAAGATTCATGTGAGTCAAACGGATAAGGTGAGTCATCATGTAATATGATTATAGAATGGATTACTTTGAGTGGATTTTTTACTCCTCAACTCTTATTATTCGATTCTTAAATATTAGTGCTTCATTATACATGAATTGTCATTTTGGAGTTTGTACTAATGATGAGGTTGAGAGATGTCGTGTTGCACAGCAGTTTCTTTGCAAATAATACTAGTAACTACGGAAAGAATGGACATGAAAGATTCATGCTTTCTGAATCTTGTTATGTGTGTGTATGTGTAATATGCTATCAATCACGATAGCGTGATAAGTATATACGGACACTTCTATTAGGATAGAGTATCTGTGTTAGACACATATCATGTCGTGTAAAGCATTTACATTCTTTGGACACTCCATGACATGAGTCTGACACTGTGATGCTCAAACTTGGCATTCCAACTGACATACCCGTGTTGACACGACACAACACAACACAACACGGGTATGAGTATGAAATATGGGGTAGATCCTTCAATTTACAAGCGGACATGGTCATATAGTCCGTCCATTGGATTTTGGAATGGCAGCAACACTGGCGCGAGACCAGACGAGGGTGGGTGAGGGGCCGGCATCACTGTTCCGTTGCCGGAGATGGGTGGGTCTGGAGGTTCGGGCAGAAGATGGTTGAGTGGCTGTGCGTGTCTCCCATAAGAGAGAAGGGAGAGAAATTTTAGAGATTAAATTCCATTTCCTGCAAAATTATATTAACTACAAAGCGATGAGTAATAATACCATGGCTGTTGGAAGATTGGTTAGACGAACAAAAACCAATCGAGAAGATGAAGAAGCTCCAGTGAATGTGAGTGAATGAAAAAGTGGATGCGAGTGAATGGAAAAAGGGGGTTAAATTTTCTTATATATCATAGTTTTGATAAGGCTGTAGTGGATGTGGGCTTTTGTTATTTTTACAAATCCCATTAGATATTTTATTAGCTAGAAATACACGGGCTTGTTAGTTTGGGCTATAAAGTTAGGGTTTACTAGATTAGGCCCAATAAAGTCAGTGCTGAACTTATTTTTGGGAAAAAAAATTGAAGTTTGAAAGATGTATCCTTGTATTCGTGTTCGAGATTTAGACTCTTTTTAGTCATGTCCTTGTATTCTACATTTTAGAAAATAAAATATTTGATATTTAGATACATATCCGTACCCGAGTTCAAGCATCACAGGTTTGACAAGACACGTGTTCTATTATATATATATATATATATATATATA